GCTCACCAGTGGATATGCCGTGAGGGACCTCAACCATGGCCACCTAGATCTCCATTCTTGAACCCTCTTGATTATTTCTTTTGGGAATATCAAAGACTTTATGCTTGTATTGCAAGTCAAGGTTCCCATTTTGAGCAAGTGTTATCATTTTCCCATTACCTATGCTGTTCTCCGAATAAAATACAAATCACCCAACAGTTTGATAACGTCTTCCATCTACTATCCAAACAGATTTTCATTTCCCAGTTTGTTGGAATGGCGACGAATATCAAAACACATTTTTGAGCTCGAATGATGCATAATCCCCATTTCTACGCCACTGACTTTGATTCGATAATACAGCACAGTTATTGTGTTGTCATGAACAAGGCCAGCATTTTGAGCATTTGCTGTGATTTACTTTTGTCTTTACATTCCAGTTCATTATTGTTATTTGTTCAAAGTTCTATTTTCATTGGAAAGGGCACAATGTCTAATTTACGTCATACACACCTTATTTATCAAATTTTGATTGTTGACTCTGTCTCCGTATTTTTTCATTGGCAATAACTTGAACATAGATCGATGTGGTTGTCGTCTTTTGGGATACAAGTTTAAATACACTTCCGATGTCCTAAAACTGTTTCTATCGTATTTGTAATAAATTTGTATCATATCTCTTTTTTCTTCATTCGTGAAAGCCATTTTTCGACAAAAATGCAATGACTTGTACAATAACAAAATGTCAAAGCCTATTATGATAAGAATTAATTTGTTTCAATATCTCCAATTTTTCGGAAAAGAATGATAACCTATGATACATCATTGGAAAAGTAAAATCTGGTTCTATTCAAAACAGAAATAATCCAATATAGCGCCCTTTAGAACATATAAAGTTGATGATGGTGGCCGGAAGACGAAACGTCGAATAGCAAATCTGAAAACACCATTATGTAGCAGGGAAAAAGTGGCAATGTGGAAATGCAATTTATTTTCGATTTCTTCGGAAAATAAAGCCAGAAAAAAATAAAATCCATTTTCCGAAATTTCTGTTTTTTTCGAATGTCTTCGGATTAACTCGGAATTTCAGAACTTTCTCAACGGCATATAGTCTGGTTCACATGTACTCGATTTAGCTCTTTTTGGTGACATTTTTCAGCCCTGTCCAAAAATTACGACCAAGGTGTCATTCGATTCGTATTTTTGCCTAGAAAGTTTAAGGAAAGGTCC